CGACGAATACAAATTAATTTTAGGACTAAAAGAAGATCGATCATGATTATTCTGTTTCAGGATGACAATATCATGATATACATGGTTACCAGGCCGAATGTTCGGAGGCCCGTGGGCTGACCCCCGAACATTTGAGCGTTCGGGTGCCCATTCGGGGTCCGAACCTGAAGGGGTTCGGCCCCCGCCAAAAATTATTTCGGGGGCTAAAAATTATTTTTTTGTGTTATGCTTTTTTACGAGTTCTATTTGACATGCGCTACGTGCATATAAATTTTCAAGGCATATTGCCAAGCCAGGAAAAATGAAAAATCGCCAAAAATGGCGGTGTCAAAACGTGCTCGGCCACTCGGTTTTTTTTTTTTCACTTTTCATTTTTTGTTTTGATTTTATTTTGGTGCCTTGAATATTTTATTATTTTTTGAAACTTTTTTTACGAGCTTTATGTTATTTGAAATACACATTTGTAACTTTCAAGGCATTTGGCTATCCCAAGGAAAAAATGAAAAATCGCCAAAGATGGCGGTGTCGAAAACATGCTCACCCACTCACTAAATTAAATTCTCTTTTCATTTTTCTTTATTTTCCTTATTATTATTTATTTTTTGTATTTATTTTTATTTGAAATCAGACTTGCTTTCTTCCTCACTTTTCATGCATGCGAACCGGCTTCACACCAAACTGGCGACAAGCGCCCAAATACAAAGCTCATAGATATGGCTGATAAGAACACAGATCGATTACAAGTTCACTTCAGTTGGCTATGGTACACAACACCCAACAATCCTCGGTTCGCACGCACACACTGTTAGTCTCTGGGTGAAGGCCAGACGACATCAATACCTTTGATCCATAGACTTTCATGAGTTCCTGCCAGTTCTGACATGTAAAGCGACTATCTCTATCGCTAACTATAGACAACGGGACTCCATGCTCACTAACCCAAAAATCAAAGAACTTTTGTATGACTAACTCTGTACGTGCCTCTGCAGGCAAAGGAACAAAAACGGCATACTTGCTAAATCGGTCAACTATGACCATGACTTGGCTCTTGCCATGCCTACTCTTGACCTGAGTATCCATGAAGTCTATGGACACCGAGTCTCCAGGCTGGTCAGGAATAGGTAAAGGTCTGAGAAGACCTAGAGGCGCGCGGGTAGTAGTCTTATTCCTCTGGCACACTTTACAACTGCGAACATACTCTATGCAGTCATTCTTCATCCCTGGCCAGATGTACGCACGCATCAGATTGGCTAATGTCTTTTGCCAACCGAAGTGTCCCTCTGTGTCATGGCATTCCCCTAGGATTAGACTACGGATCTCCTCACTGTTGGGAACACATAGACAGTCTGTAGTGCGGTAATCTAGTTCAGTCTCTGGGGCCTCTCTAACTCTCTTTAGGAGGTCACTATAGATAGGGTCCCGTGCATACGCCTGCCTTACTTTCTCTTGCAGGTCTCTCCCTATATCCAGATAGTGTACTATAGCTCCAAAGTAGTCTGATCTCCTACTTAGAGCATCCGCAACTACATTGTACTTACCTTTGACGGGTTTGAGCTCAAAGTTATGATCTATTTCAGCGGCCCACCTAGTCAGCTTAGGTGTCATCTTGGCCTGTGTCTTCAGCCATCTAAGTGTCTCATGGTCTGAATACACCTTGAAGTGCCTCCCAAGCAGGTAATGCTTCCAGTGCTCTAAGGCTTGCCTGAGAGCGTAGAGTTCTCTCTCATACGTCGAGGTGGCTACTTTCTCTGAAGCCATCCTCGCTGACATGAACTCTACGGGTCTATAGCCATTGTCGTCATCTTGCTGTAACACGGCGCCTATCCCATATTGACTCGCGTCCGTGGTGACGACCAAGGGCAAAGACGGATCTGCTACTTTGAGGACAAGGTATTCTATCAAGGCGCGCTTTAACTTCTTTAGCGCACCCGTACAATCTTTATCTCACTGCCAAATTGCTTCTTTCTTAAGCAACCTGCGTAGTGGAGCGGCAATAGTAGAAAAGTTCCTCAAGAACTTCCTATAGTAATTGGCTAGGCCTAGGAACGACCGCAACTCAGTCAACGTGCGGGGTGTCGGCCAATCTCTAATTGTCGCTATCTTACTGTCCTCTGGCTTATTGCCATCTCCGTCTAAGACGTGGCCCAAGTACAAGACTTGTGTCTTGGCCCACTCGCACTTCTTTTCGTTGATCTTGAAGTTAGCTTCCCTCAGCTTCTCCAAGACTTGCCTCAAATGACCCTAATGCTTTTGGAGGGTCCTACTGAAAACTAGAATGTCATCTAAGTATACTACCACGAATCGATCTAACCAAGGCCTAAACAAATCATTCATACACCGCTGAAAGGTGGCTGGCACATTGGTTAGTCCAAAGGGCATCACTATGAACTCATAATCCCCGTATCTAGTCCGAAAAGCGGTCTTGTGCTGACCATCAGGGTGGACCTCTATCTGATGGTATCTGGACTTCAAGTCGATCTTAGAGAAATATCTGCAGCCCTGCACCCGATCCAAAAGATCGTCTATCCTGGGCAGCGGCTCAGCATTCTTAACAGTGATCGCATTCAGACCCCTATAGTCTATACACATTCTCAGCTCTCCTTCCTTTTTGGGGACGAACAATACTGGTGCTCCAAAGGGAGATGAACTGGGCCTAATCCAACCCTTCTCGAGGAGTTCATCTAATTGCTTGCGCAACTCCTCTAACTCTCTAGGGGACATCCTATAGACTGCTCCCTCAGGAGTCCTACTGCCAGGCTCTATCTCTATGTGATGTTGGATTGGCCGCGACACTACTCCGGTCGGCGGCACTGTCAAATCTTTGAATTCTTCTAGCAGCTTGGCAATAGCTAGGTCTATTGGCTTCTTTTCCTTAGGCTCAGTAACAGGCCTTATATGCGCTACGAAGACCTTGTCCTCTAACTGCTCCTTCACTAATCGCGCGAACGTGGAAGCACTGAGACATCAATTTGCCAAGGTGTTGTCTACACCGGACACATGGAACAGGCGGGCAGTCTTGACCTCGCCTGACGGACTAGGGAGCCTACACTCATGCTCTCTTAAGTGGAGTGTGGCCCTTGCTGCCTCTCCCCAATCCATATGTATAACTATATCAAACGGAAGGTTATCCTGTACAAGGAGAGTCAGGGAATGGAGAACTCGCTCTACCTTCCCATCTTTCTCTAGGCGAAAATACGCCTGGACTCCCTCTACGTAGTCCTCAACTCGCATTGTACTATTGTCTGCGAGGACACTGACTATGGGGTCTTTCATTTTTGGACTTTTAACCCTAGCCTTAGTTTCTTCAGCGCTTTACGGCTAATGTAACTGCGGGTGGCCCCTGAATCTATAAGGGCCCCTACTCTACTCCTAAACACTTCTACATCAACCAACACTAGCTGCCCTTTACTATCTTTCTTCATCTTGGGCCAGACAGGCATTCTCTCTTTCAATTCTTATGCCACGCCTATGAGGGACGTGCCTGGAGAGATGCTAACACAAGCAGTCTCTGGACAGCTAACTAGGCACTGGCCTGCCGAAGGCTCATGTGGTGTGGGAGTTTCCTCTGTGCGCGCGCTCGCTTCCCTACATGGCCTAGAAGTAGGGGTAGTTGCAACCCCTACCGGCGGCTGCCTTTTGACTCCTGGGCAGCCCACCGGGCCTGTCTGTACTTAGGACAATATTTAATAATATGGGCAGGGTCACCGCAATAAATGCACTAACCCTGTTCCATACGCTGTTGCCACACTTTCTGATCTAGGCCCAGATCTTTCCATGGTCGGCCCTGTGGCCAACCGGGGTGCCATCCTCCTCTCCTCTGAGGTGAACCTCCACCTCTACGTTGCGGGGACCGACTAGGACCTTCACGATTTGGCGGGGCACCTTGACCCCTACCTCCCTCTTGACGGCTCTTTGGGCCGCCAACCCCGTGTGCGCCCGATCCTCGGCCTCCCGTGGCCTGACCCCTTTGGCCCTTGCCTCCTCTGCCCTGCGGCCTCCCTCCAACCGCTACAGCAGCATAAGACCTCCCCTGTCCTACATTGTTGTCCTCCTCCTCAAGTCCCCACTCAATGTGGTTGTAGGGGACCTCATCAGTATCCTCCAATGTAAGGATCATGTGATCCTTGGCCCTGACTTGGCCAGAGATGGTACGACCTTTCCAATTTTTACCCTTGTCTAAGTCCTTTATGCCAGAAAGTGGAAACTGGCATGGACTTTGCCTCGAACAACACCACTTCTCTACTCAGCGCATCATACGCCATAGTGGGCTGTTGGGACTTGTCGAAGAAGTGCCCTCGTAAGGAATCCGGCATGGCACGATAGAAGAGTTGGACCAGTTGGGACTCACTAACCCCATGGTCTGGGACGGCCACCAGGTCGTCCATGACAGCTTTGAGTGCCCTTGCACTCTTCCACTGCCGTGAGTGGATGGTCTGGAGTTTATCAGAGGCTCTAACGCCTCTTCGCAGATCAGCAAATCGCTCCCTGAGGAGCTTGAAGAATTGAGCGAGGGGGGTGACTTTGGAGTAAGCGACCATGTTGTTTTCACAACGGGCCGCACGCGTGAGGGACCTAGCGAAACTAGCCGCTTCATCCTTGAGAGCCTGGAAGGCAACGAGGACCTGATCGTCCTGCGCAATCTGCTGTAAATGAACGTACGTATTGACACTTGCCTCCCAATTATCGAAGTTTTCGTCAGACTTCCCGTCATAGGCATCTGGGAACTTCAGCTTGACTGGATCCCTGCGAGGTGTAGACTCACTCTCAGAGGTGGCTACTACCTTGGCGCCCTCAATGGCGCCCTCACAAAACTTTCTTACGCACTCTTTTAATCCTTTCACTTCGGCCCCGACGTGGGTCACCACGTCGCGCGCAAACTCTCTAAAGCCAGCCCGCATGGCCTGCAGGGCCACATCGTGACCCCTGTTGCTTTGGCGTTCCTCCAGCCACGCCTTGCTTAGTACCTCTAGGTACTCTAGGATCTTGTCTAATTTCGCGGGTACTTCCGCTTGGGCCTGCACCTCTTGCCTACACCCTCGTACTTTCTCCACCTCTGCGGCCAATCAGACAGCTTCCTCCCTCCTTCTCTTCTTCTCCCTTTTCATGCGCAGCTTCCACTCCAACTTTTTCTCATCTTCTGTCTCTTGACGTTCCAGGGGCTCATCTATCATTTCCAAAGCCCTGGCAAACGCCTCCTTCTCCTCCTGTGGCACATACAGTTGCGCCTCCTCATCTTCTCCCAAAGACAAATTTGCCACCCACTCACTAATCTTCTTCTTCATTTTTGCATCTTCCTCCGTCGTGCCACTGCTCTCCCCTTTTTCTTCCCTACGTCTTCTTTCAAGGCGTTCTTCCTCTTTTTCTGCTGCTGCTGCTTCTTCTTCAGCAACCTTTCTTCTTTCTTCCTCCTCCTGCTGAACCCTCATCATCTCCTCCTCCAACCTTTTCCTTTTCGCCGCCTGCTTCTTTGCGATCGCTTTCAACTTCGCCTGCTTCGGGAGCTCTTTCTTTTCCCTATTCTCTCTCACTAGGGCGGCCATCTGCTCCTGTTGAGCCGGAGTATAGGGGCTGGTACTCTTCCCACTACGGGTGTCAACCATGGTGATAAGTGTACAACGGGGTCAACGGTTCCAAACCTCACCACTTAGACTCTAACCCCTGACTGACAAACTTACCGACTCAATCTAAAGACTCACAGAATCCGGACAGGGATCCTGTCAACTAGGGTCTCTAGCCTGGACCTACTCTAAGGCTGTCACTACAAGACCTGTTGCTGATCAGGAGGCATTAAAGGAGATCCCCTGTAACTCCTCAGGCATTGTTTAACGTCGCAGACAGGACGACGCGATCAGCAGGTCTTCTCAAGACTTAGACGGCCTGTTGTGCAGCCCACAGCTCAGATTTCGGGCCTACCGTGCCACACCGAGCAGCCCGCCGGTCCGTACCGGTCCTTGGGAGGGTTCGTGTCCTCCGGGACAGTCGAGTCGTCAGACAGTCTTTAGCCCTGCTCAGCCCGGCAGGGGTTGGTCAATGAGGCCCTATCCTTCATACAAGGAGTCCTATCACCTCGACAAAAGAGACTCGATGCAGAAAGAAGAGACAGACAGACAAGACTCAACAAGTACCATAGGGTGTGTGCACATCCATAGGGCGAGGGAATAGGCTGAAGGCTTGGCGAGGTTATATGGACTCCAGCTTGGTCAAACTCGTGGTCAACAATCTTGGTCAACGCCTGGGTCAACACTTGGTCAACGCTGCAATCAACCTTCGGTCAACTCCCGGTCAACTCCGGTCAACGACCGGTCAACCCCGGTCAACACCTCCGGTAAACTCCGGCTATGGCGGCCTGCTTCACCTTCGTAGCCACCCTTCTCCTTCCTTCTCCCTACCTCGCCTCCTGTCACCCCGGCTGTCTCTCCTCTCTTTTTTTTTTTTTTTTTTTTTTTCTCTCCTTTCACCTCCCGGCTATGGCTTCTTTCACTCTGCTCGGTCTCCCCCTCTGTCCTCTCTCACGTCCTCCTTCTTCGTCACTCCGTGGTGCAAGCTTTGCGGCTATGGCCTTCTTCTTCTTCTTGGACTGCACAGCGATCTCCCAGGTAAGTGACAACCAATCTTGTATCACTCAACCTTCCTCTCTCTCTCCCTCTCTCCCTCTCCCTCTCTCTCTCTCTCTCTCTCT